CTTTTTTGGTACTATAAACTACTTTGGAGTTTATTATTGAATCATATTATCGGATTTAACCTATCCCATCATTAGTATTGTAGTTCACCAACGTAGATGATCTATGTCGAAATGATTGGAGGCCTACTCGAGTTAGACGTGAATGATGTGACAAAATAGCTAATGTCGAAGTCACACCTCATGGTCAGCACCTTACATGGACTACCCCATCGACGTATCAAGGTACCATAGGCGCTTTGAAGACTGTACAACACAGAGGACGTTATTACAGAAGTATATTAGTTAAAGTAGATACAATCGAAAGTAAGACCACTGCCTCATGGGCCAGTCCATGGTATACGGTTAACTGATGCGCGTTGGTTGTCCCTAATCTTGACAAGGAGCGGTGATCTGTTTGATATTTTAGTGATCCGACTGACGGATGATTTGGCTAGGGCTCAGTGACATTTTACTGGCCCTACAGTATCACCGCGTGGAGAGGAACCTTCGTTAATCAAATGAACTTATTGATTGTTGCTTTCTTAGAAGGAGCTTGCGAGTAACATTTATTTTATATCAGTTGTTATCATTTTACCATTTAATGCGCCATTTTGTTTTAAGTGCCATTTATTACAGTTTTACTCTACTCATAGACAGACTCTTCGGTTTGTAGTGTTGATCTTTTTCGGTATACCATTAGTAACTATGTTCACTACTATTTTTTAAATGCGTTCTTTTACTGAGATCCATCAATAATCTGATGAGCACCTGCGTTTCCTTACAAACATTTCGGCGTTTCTTTTCCTCTTGTTAATGATTGTTTTTTGCCTATTTATCATGTATTCATTCGAATCCGAAGATATTAACCAGAGAAGCAATTCAACGGGGTTACACGCTCTGAACCTCATAAATGTGCCATCATTCAGTAGGTTAGACCAGTGTACGTCATTTTCACAGATAGATGTCCAGTTTCATCGTCGACTATATAGTACTTAGATTCGCGTTGAAGAACTTTGAAAGGTCCTTCGTATTCTGATTCGAATGGTCGTCGATGTGAGTCTCGATGAACGAAAATGTGTGTACTATATCGTAAGTCAGGTTGAACGAAAACACCGGCGGATTGTGGTCGAGTGGAAGCAGGTTTAACTGAACGCATTGCGTTTGTAAGCCTGTTCGTGTAGAAGGTTAGATCCACGTTCATTGGAGAGGATGAAGGATCCACGAATTCTCCTGAAAGTCGAAGTGTCGTTCCATAAACGAGTTGAGCCGCAGTGTATTCAATGTCAGCTTTTACGGCATTGCAGCTACCTAGTAAAACGAGTAGAAGAGCGTCGGTCCACTGTGAAACGTTCGCAGCTGATAGTGGAGCTTTTAGTTGTCGGTGAAAACGTTCTACCAACCCGTTTGCTTGTGGGTGGTAGGCGGTCGTTCGGAAGCAAGTGACTCCTAAAAGTGTGGTCAGACGACGGAAAAGTTCAGACTCAAACTGACATCCGCGGTCTGTAGTGATGGTTGAAGGGCAACCGAAGTTTGCTACCCATCGTTCGACGAAGGTTCGGGCCACTGTTTCAGCAGTGATGTCCTTGATAGGTACTGCTTCTGGCCATCGAGTGAAACGATCTACACAGGTTAAGAGGTAAGAGTATCCATTTGAATCTGGTAAAGGTCCTACCAAATCCAGATGAACATGGTCGAAACGAGCATCGGGAGTTTTAAATGAGCCTTAGAGACATTTATTGTGTCTGATGACCTTAGATTTTTGGCAGCTTACACAGGAGCGTGCCCACTCCCTCACGTCTTTATTCATGCCAGGCCAGCAAAACCGTTCTGCTATGAGCTTGATGGTTGCACGAACACCTGGATGAGAAAGTTTGTGCAATGTGTTGAAGACATTGCGTCGATAATGTTTCGGGACGATTGGGCGATCCCTACCTGTAGATGTGTCACAAAGTAAAGTTTCCTTACCGGTTCCCATCTGTTTGATGCGTAGTTTAAGGGTTGTGGACGATAACTCTTGCTGAAGATCAGTGTCTTCTTTTTGAAGCTGGGCGAGTTTAAGAAGGTCGATTCCTTGGAAACTGTTCAGGGAATTTATTCGAGACAAGGCGTCTGCAACTACATTGTTTGCTCCAGAAATATGTTGAATATCTTAAGTAAACTGCGAAATGTAGTCCAGTTGTCGAGACTCACGGGGAGAGTACTTGTCTGAAGAGGAGCTTAGAGAGAAGGTGAGTGGTTTATGGTCAGTGGAAAGAGTGAATTCACGACCTTCGATATAGTGTTTAAAATGCCGTACAGCACAATACATAGCTAGGAGTTCCCTACCGAATGTGCTGTACCTCGATTCGGTGTCTAGCAACCGTCTAGAGAAAAATGCCAATGGTTGCCAGGAGTTATTAACCCGTTGTTGTAAGACTCCTCCGATTGCTGAGTCGGATGTGTCTACTGCGATACCAATGGGTTCTCGGATGTCCTGATGCGCAAGCATTGTTGCTTTAGCGATGAGTTCCTTAATTGTGGAGAATGCTTTTCGTGCGGTGTCGCCCAAATTAATGGATTTCGCATTTCCACGAAGTTGGTCGGCTAGAGGTTTCATGAGTAAAGCGCACTTAGTTACGAATCGTCTATAGAAACTTACAAGGCCGTTAAACGTTCGTAGTTGCTTGATCGTGGTCGGTTCTGGGTAATCCAGAATTGCCGTCACCTTGGTCCTAAGGGGTCGAATGCCTTGAGCATCGATAGTGTGTCCTAGAAAGTCTAATGAGTCGGTTCCGAATTGGCATTTCTGAACGTTTACAGTAATGCCATGTTTTTGTAGTCGATCGAAAACAAGATCCAGATGCTTGAGATGTGATTCTCTGTCTGGACTTGCGATTAAGCAGTCATCAACATACGCATGTATGAAGTTGAGACCTCGAAAAACGTCGTCTATGAATCTTTGGAATGTTTGTGCAGCGTTTCTTAGACCGAAAGGCATTCGCAAAAATCCATAGAGTCCGAAAGGAGTAATGATGGCGGTTTTCAGTATGTCGTCAGTGGCCATGGGACTTTGGTTATACGCTTCAACTAAGTCGATTTTCGAAAGAACAGTTGTACCTTTCAAGGTAGCTGTCAAATCGTGAATGTGAGGCAACGAGTAACGATCGGGAATGGTTGTCGCATTCAATCGCCGATAGTCACCAGTTGGACGCCAATCGTTGCTGTCCTTTTTAGGGACCATGTGCAACGGAGATGCATAAGGGCTGTTTGACGGTCGTATGATTTCTAAGTCTATCATGTGATCGAATTCGTTTTTCGCTAACCTTAGCTTTTCAGGAACTAGTCGTCGTGCTTTAGAGAATACAGGTGGTCCTGTGGTCGTGATGTGATGTGTAACATTGCTGGTTACACACGGTAGTTTCGGTTGAGTTTGTTGTATCTCAGGGTACTTATCGAGTAGTGGTTGATAGAGTGGGTCTATCATATGCTTAACTGTGACTGGGGATAATCTGCAACCGGAAAAAGGAGTAACGCAAACGGACAAGTTCGTGCTTCCGTCTACTAGCCTCCGTTTGCGCGTATCGATGATCAGATTATGGTGTTGTAGAAGGTCCATACCGATGATTGGCATAGAAACATCTGCAACAACGAAGATCCAGTAGATGGGTTTGCGTAAACCCACGTTAAGGTAAACGTACCTTTTGCCATACGTAGCGATACGTTTTCCGTTTGCCACCTGTAAGTTTAGAGTTGATTAGTGGAGCCGGTCGTTAAATTTGCTGGGAGAACGCTAACTTCTGCGCCAGTAGCGACGAGGTAGCGAACTCTCGTTGTCACATCTGTGACGTACAACAGACGGCTATGTTCGCCGGCTACGGTTGCCGTTAACGCGTGCCGGCTTGGAAGTTTCCCGAGTTGTTTTTCGAGTCGATCGGTTTCGTGTTGGGAAAATTGCAGGGTTTTCTGCAATTTCTGGAAGACTTTCCATACTAGTTATAATATCAGCACCAGTCGTGGTTATACGTCTCTCGTGGTCTAGCGACAAATCACTTACGTGAAATGCTTCTACGTGTGGTGCGTGATCGCTTACGGTCGTTACGAAATTAAGATAACGCGTGAGTGTATGACATAACTCGGTTATGTCATTCTGAGTCGTGTGAGGCTATTCTTTGACTGAAAATACCTCGGTAGTAGATTTCGTTATTTCTAAAATACAATCGGCAGATGCAACTAGTTCGTCTAAGGCGTTGTTCTAAAACGAGACCAAAACCGCTTGCGCCTGTTGGGGAAGTTTAGACAAGAAAAGTTGTTTGAATAGGAATTCGTCGAAAGTTCTTAGGCCTATAACCTATCTTATCCTTTGCAACATGTCCGTCGCAGAACCGTGCTGAAGGTCTATGTTATCAAAACGTTGATCTAACCTAATCTTCGGTTAGGTCTCCTCGTTTAAGAATCGAGCGTTTTAAGGTTTCGTAAGGTTCCGAACCATCACTAGTAAACATACTAGGTGTTCAGTGTTTGGCAACGCTTTTATCAGCAATACCTTCTAATATAATTTGTACCCACCGAGAGAAATAAAAAAGACAGAGTCGAGGAGATTGGAAGAGTGTATTTGGCGATAACCAATATTTCGAAATTCTCTGATCTAATCTGGCTAGCGATTGCGGTAGATGTTGAGTGCAGCGTTACCACACGTGATCCGGTGCGGATGCATGATGTTTACCATTTTTAACACATAACATTGTCAAACTCATTAAAACATGCCTTATTTTTGACCTTTGTAAAATATTATAATTATGGACTTATAACTGTAGAGCCTGATGATGAAGTTATTGAAAACAGTTGTTCGCTCAAATATTATTCGTTTTTGAATATTCTATGGAGATTTTTAAATTGCTCTAGTTAACTGTCAAATTAAGTTATTATAGCGTTGAAAGAAGCTCAAATACAAACGTGAGCAACAAAACGTATAAGAAAAATAAACATTGTTTCACGAAAACTATTCTATCGGACCGCGTGAATACGAAAGCAGCGTTACTTTGAAGGTTGTCTGTCTTGAGAAACTGTAAACAAATTATATATAACCATAAATCTCTCTTTCGGTTTATAGAATTACAGCATTATTGACTTGCGTGGTGGTGAAAATAAGGTTATTTATGGAAAATGTGTTGGAATTGTCGTTTACACAATTGTTAATATCTGGTCCATTTTTTTTCTTTTCTTTGTCGTGAACGAACGTACTTTCGAATGCCGAACTCCTTTTTTGGTCATTTGGGTAGGAGAAACATGGATTTACCCACATATTTAAACAAGAGACATCGGTGTCATTGTTGTTAACGGTGCATGTTGGGAAAGAACGGATTTCACTGTCTTAATGGTCGTCAGCGTTCTTAACAGGGCATAAAATATAGATATAAAGCTCTTCTGTTTAATGCTAGACCGACTACGGCCTTACCAAGTCTTAATAAATGTCTCCTTGAAGAAAGGTTTGTCGATTTAAGAGAAACGCGAATTAAGCTTTCAGTAAGACTATATTTAATGAACGAACATTGATCGAGGTTAGACTGACCTTAAAAATGTACATCTGCTGACCGGAGCCAAACTCATCTTTGCACGGGTTTTTCTCAGATAACCCTTAAAACTCTTGAGTTCTCCCCGATCATGGAGCTAGCTACTGCTTTAGGAGCGTATATGATTATGCCAAGACATTATTCTGTATAGAGAGCTTTAAGAATAACTCTAAAGTGTTTCTTTTGGTAGTCATTTTTTTAGATGATAGAAATCGAATTTAAACTTCGGAAAACCATAGTTTAATTGAAATCAGCTTGTGCGTTACGTGATATTTGTGGTTTTGACGGTCGAGTAGATTGTGACGACATCTGACTGACCCAATGGCATTCCAAATAAAGTCACTAGGTGCAGCGTCCATGCCTGGTAATCGAAGCGATTGGAGAACCAATGTCCTCTTGACCACTCGATCCGTTTAATCTTATTAAGTATAGACTATTCTTAATAAGCACCGAACTATTACGACGAGCTTACTCGATCATTTGTCTAAAGAATACAACTTAAGTACGATGACGAGGTTTCTGGCATTGGCGGTGTCTTTACACACTATTCCACTTGTTTCTTCTTAAATAGTGGAATACTTTAACTTTCCAGTTCTGCCAAAGTAGGATAATCCTAGCAACCATGAACCAACTGCTTCTCATTTGATATAGACGTCCTACCTGGATTCCTAGTTTCAGTAAGTAGTTTTGAACTGACAGCAATCAGCGTAACTGGCCGAAGTCCCTTCGTACATTGAGAACTTATTCATTCGTTTGGTTGGACATTAAGCATATCTCCGCAAACCTACTCATGGTATGAATAACGTGACATTGGGTTTTTCCTGTTTTCTACATTTCCCTGATTGTTTGTCTTATCTAGTACTGTATAGTCACTACTATTTTTATAGGTAAAATTTTGGAGAAATTATCATATTGTGGTATGCCTACATTAAGTCGGAAAAAACTACACCACCAGCTGGAAAATGTTAAGACATTTCAAAACCCAAAACTTGAGTTTGAACAGTACTGTACCTCAGCACAAGTTGCAGGTTAGTTGATGAAATACTAAAAGTAATCTACCATTTGTTTAGCGGACATCTTGTTTAATATTCAAATGACAGATAATGCATTGGAAGGGATGTCTGTAGCCGATCTTGGATGTGGTACTGGAATGTTGTCTATCGGTGCTAAACTCCTTGGAGCTAGGTAGGAAACTGACACTCCTTCAACATTAATGATAGATATCAGTTGTGTACTTGGATTCGAAATTGATGAGGATGCTGTGAATGAGTTTCAATCAAACCTAGAAACATGTGAAATGCTAGATGAAAATATTGATGTTACTTTGTGTGATGTAGCACGGCTCTTTCATGGGAACAACAAGAAATTTGTGGATACAGTTATTCTAAATCCTCCTTTTGGCACTAACCCGAATAATAATGGTAACGTCTTACTGACACATAGGTCTTATTTTTTTCAGGTATTGATATGGCATTCCTACGTGCTGCGCTGTCCATTGCCCATTTACATGTATATTCGCTCCATAAAACTACCACACGAAACGTAAGTATAATGAGTTTTAAGTTATAAAATATTTATAACGAAGGTTCTACTACATCAGTGACTATGAATAAAAGCTAGTGGCGTGCGAATTTGAACAAACAGGTTTTCGCGAATACCTAGCTGATGCTAATTTTCTGAGCTAACTATTCCATAATTGCTAGCAAAAGACGTATATTGTCGGTCTCGAAGACTTCATAGTTAACTAGCCGAGTACACTATTTTTGAATTAACTCTTAACGACTAAACTGACACACAGTGTTTATTTAATTGGCCTGGTGGAAACTTGCCAATTAATATATGAGGCTCAGCTATATTGTTTATCGAGAAATAAAAATTTATGACCCTATATATGATGTAATGAACAAACTAAAGCCACAAGCTATTTAATGGCGTATCAATTACATATACGATACTTGCATTACATAATCAAGCATTCGGAACATTTTAACTACATTTTGTAAACCTCAACATGTTTTATAAAAGGTCTCTTTAAAACAAAGTCCGTGGACTAGTAATTTAATTCTTACTATGTGTTAAGTGATGTAGTAGGTACACCTTGAATAGCAAACAAAAACACGACTGCAAAAATTTGACTCGTGTACCTAAACACAATAATCTAAATACAATCTTGATAAAAAATATTGATTAGGAGCTATTTACTACCAATTAACGGTTTACTATGCTGTTTTATAATTACTATAAGTCAAAATACTTGTTCATTCATGTCTACTTTTTTTTTAATAACTGTATAGCATGTTCTACATACAATACAGAGTATTGGTGCACAGGGCAAAGTGGTTGCAGAACTTCGCTATGACCTGCCTCGTTTATACAAGCGTCATCGTTATAATACAGTAGATATAGCTGTTGACTTGGTTCATTCGTGGTTTTAGATTTGAATAAATTTACTTCCACATTATTTCTTTTTATAAAATAGCTAAAGTAGGTGATTACCGTTAAAAGGCATATTAATAACTATTTAGTACAACCATCAGATATTACACATTCAAATTCATAAGATTTGTAGGATTTGTGCTTCTTATCGTACAGATGACCAAGAACACCAACGATATCGTGGCATTTTGTCAGGTGATTCATTGTGACGTCCAGGAATAGGTTGTGGTCTTGGTTTGTTTTTTGCATGTAAAGCTTCATACATATCTTGTTTCTTACGCATTGTATATTCTGATCGACCAGGATACGAACATTTTAATTTAAAGTAGTCTGGTGAGCTTTGACATGGTACAAGGTCGATAGGTGGACCGATCGGTCGTACTTTCCGACCAAATCTTCCTGTTTTACGCTGCCACAATCCACTGCGTTGTTTTATCCCTCTCCATTTCTTTTCACCAAATTTACGAAATCTATATGTATATATATAAATGAAAAAGAGATAAATAAATATAATATTAGCGATAAACATGCAATATCTTAAAATCTAATGATTTACTTAAGAATTGTTTAGTTAGTTATTATAAACAAAATATCACGTTGTCCGAGAATTGCATGTAAAGTTTCATACATATCTTATTCCTTACACATAGTGTATTCTGATAGACCAGGTATACGAACATTTTAATCGAAAGTAGTTTGGTGAACTTTGACATGGTACACTTCTCATAGTGATAAACAAATTGAGTCCATGTAACAGAAAGTATTAACCTCAATAAAAACTCAAACAATATATAAAGTTACTTGTCAATTACCTCTATACATCAATAATAATAATACTAAGCATGTAGTGTAAATCTTTAAATAAACATGAAAAATTTCCCTATGTAAATAAACAATAATTTTCACTAAAAATAAAACTTATTTGACATAATCCAGTTTTATATGACAGCATGGTTACTGATAACACCATAAAAATCAAAACGACATAATTTCAAGAAAATGTACCTATATTTATTCCCAAAAAAGAAGCTCAATGCATTTAAAATATGTTGACACTTAACAGAAATATTATACATAATTATTAACGATATGAAATCCAGTTATTTGCAATTAACTTACCTAAATTGATCATGATTTTGATTAGAAACTTGTCCAACTACACACATACATGTTGGTAAAAGTCGATAAATCTTACGTTTTCCATTGGTTCTAACAAATACAACATATTCATCTCCTAGTTCATCAGTTAAAGATGTTAAATTTAATTCTTCATTTAATTTTGAACCAACATATTTTCCACGTCGAAATATTGTTGCACTAGATCCTGCTGTCCGACAAAATAAAGCACCTTGACCAGGTTTTATTTCAAATTGACTGATGATTGTACCAACTGGTAATGCACCGATTGGATGAGCATCACCTTCTTTTGGATCAACTATATTAAGAGAATATATATATATATATAGTACAAGCAAATTAGGATTATTGCGATTAATAAATACAGAAAACTGAACACTAGTCCCTTTTAAACTGTAACTTGGTTTCATAAAGTAAAATTATAGATCAACTGCTAGTTTCAAATGCTAAGATAAACTGAAGGATTTTGGCTGCTATTACATTTTAAAGAGTATCTAATAAGAGGCGAAATATACTGTTTAAACTAACTATACTATATATATAAGCCGTAAAGAACAAAGTCTGGCCTGTTATATTCATATTTAGGAAAATATATTCACAAATTGTACAGTTTTCTTAAAACGCAATTACGATTGTTGGAAATTATCTTTGCACTAGTCAAAAATCGAGATCGCATCATCTACATTCGAGTATAAATTTACAACTAATTAGGAAACTATAATGGAGATGATAACTAAATTAACTGTCCATAGCTTTAGAAGTCGAAGAACAGTACAATAAGTTATCCCACTTTCAAACGGAATGCTAAACAAAATGAAATATCAATGAGTCTTAAAGCTTCCGATGCATTACACTTGATATGCCACATAAAGCTTTCTTTTTGGTACATTGCTAAGATCAGTAGTTAATATTTGCATAGCTTGGTTCTAATTCACGTAAACAAATCATCTCGATATTTTTCCTCATTGTTGTCATTAATATTGTCAGTCAGTTAGCTACAGCGTAGGACCAAGCACATATATGAATCGGTCCAAATTGCCACACCTCATTAGAACAACAACATGAAAACCAAATTCATAGGAGCAGTTACTTCAATAGTAATATATAAAAAAAGATTGCATATAAGGATATGATACAGAGAGGAAGAATTAGTTCGTAGAAAGAAAGATATAAAGCAATTTTAATCTCTTAGATTAAGGGAAAACAAAGAGTGTATACACCTACGCCTTTATGATCGATTCTGATCCATGTTACCCAGAGTATCCAACCATTGGTTACGATAGTCACCCAGACCGCAACCAAGTAGTCTGCACCTACCAACATGACTCAGACCAGGAGTTAGTGACCTAAGGGACTCATGCCACATTTTGGTTTGGCCGCCCCTAACTTTCTTCCAACCATCACCGGTTGGTATTGCACTTCATGGTAATCGGTGTTCAGGCATACGTAACACGTGGCCCAACCATCTCAGTCGATGAAGATTTACAACCTCATCAACTGATTTACCATCATTCCCTGATGCCCTGCATCTAACCTCACTGTTACTTATCCAGTGATTTCAGCAGACGCCTACTCTTAATGACCAAGTTTCGCAGCTGTCAAGTAGAACAGAACGAACTGCCGCTCAGTATACTCGCCCCTTGATTGATAGACGGATATCTCGCCTTCGCCATAGGTGACGTAATCTGGCAAAAGCCAAACGAGCTTTGCGAATCCATCCTGAGATTTCGTCAGACACCAACCCATTAGGCTGATCAGACTTCCAAGATAAGTAAAGTTGTCGACGCGTTCGACTACTTCACTCCCTATCCTTAGTTCAGGCGTTGACGCACACCAATCCCGCGGCAACAACTTACATGTAGAGGGGGAGAAACGCATTCCAAACATTCTGGCATTGTTGCTTAGTGCTACCAAAAGACTGCATTTTATCAGCGTCTTCACTAAACAGAAGTATTTCATCTATATATTCTAAGTCGATAAGTTGACCTCCTGGTAGGAGATTGATGGCCGAGAATTCAGTGGACGAGAATGTTATTTCCATCAGTAGGTCTATGATGAAGTTAAACAAAAATGGAGAAAGTGAACAGCCTTGACGGACACCACTTGAGGTTGCGAAGGCAGATGACAGTTCGCCATAAGCTCTGACTCGACTAGTAGTGTTTGAGTAAAGAGCCTTCACAAGGTTTATGTACTTCTGAGGTACCCCTTTCAATGACAGACACTGCCACAGAATCTCGCGGTCTATAGAGTCAAATGTTGCTTTAAAGTCAAGAAAAACCACCATTGTCAGACGCTGATAAGCATGCCTGTGTTCTACATTCTGACGACTGGTGAATACGTAGCCAATGCAGCCACGACCAGGTCTGAAGCCAGTGTGATTTTCTCGTGTTTGCAGTTCACGAGTCTTTGTTAGACGCCCGATAATTATTGATGCTAATATCTTAAACGCTATATTGGTCAGACTAATCTCTCTGTGGTTAGTACAGGATGATTTTGATCCTTTCTTATATATTGGGATGATCAGTGATTGCGACCAGTCGTTAATATTGGAAATTAAATTTGTTGATTTTTTAGTAAATCTCGTAATTTTTTGATAGTTATATTAAGAGTCTAGATGTCAGACCTTCAACTGAGCATTATTATTTATTTTGTTTTAACACATAGATATTGGTACAAGGAAGCACCGAATACATATGCACCACACAAATCTCATTCGATATGTGTGAGGGCTGTGATACTGCTCGGTTGCCAAAACCGAAGCAGGTGGTTTTCTTAGGAGGCCACTCCCCGAGCCTTCGACCTGAGGGTCTGATTCACAAGGCAGTGGAGCATCGTAAGGAGATGCAGTCCCATGTAAGCCGGTGACCAACAATTGGTTTATACGCCATTTGTTCTCGCAGGATACTGGAGCCCATGTGCACCATTGGTTTGGAATCCGGTTGAAGCACCAGACATTCGCTTTTCGTCCACTCATTTTCGTAAACAACACCCCCACCGCAAGAAGGCAGTGAGTAGGACTTCCCTGGCAGAGGCTATATACGCGTGGCCATGTGAGAACATTTCGAAAGGAAGAGCGGACTCTCCCCACTCTCGGCCGTACCAGGGCATTTGGGGGCGATAGAGCATTATAATAAATGAAATTGGCAAATGTTTCATCCGTAATATGAAGCGACTCCTAATATGCTGAGATTAGTTGCATGCAAAAATACAAAGTCAATCAACTTATTTTTTTAATTGGCTAATGAGACTAAACCCAACCAATCAGTAGCTGGAAAGATTCAACAACAAAATTGGTTCAAGAATGTTTTTAACATAGTTGTTATCTAAATACTAATCGTAAGATTTAGGAAGGGGGAGGGTAAAGATGTAATGTGTTTGAAGTTTTACCTGGAATAGTAGGGATATCTACATGTGAACGTATAATATCTCCAGGTTTCATACTAGCAGTTGCAATAATCCATCTTTTCACTTCACCTGAGGCTACTAAAGCAATAAACGGGTGTCTCCACCATGTTTTTTTGACCTATGAACATGGATTAAAAAAGAATGTTATTAATAAAGAATACAACGATTGTTTTTTTTAAATAACGAGCATTATTTCACTTATTTTCTTTACTGTTCTCATGGTCATAACTTTCTAACTTATAAGTCGAAGTTGATTTGTTGAAGGTAACAGTTTAAAACCGGTGAGTTGAAAATTATTCTGCTAGTGGCTGGAAAAAATGTTCTCACTTATTCTGTAGTTATCATGTTCTTTTCCCAGTCCGCCAAGTGCCCTGGTACGGCCGAGGGTGGAGGAGTCTGCTCTTCCTGTCGAAATGCTCTCACGTGGTCACGCGTATACAGCCTCTGCCAGGAAAGTCCTACTCACTGCGTTCTCGTGGCGGGGGTGCCGTTCACGAAATTGAGGATGAAAAGAGAATTTCCGGCACTTTAACAGGGTTGGTGGATCTACCTAGGGGAGTTGAAAAACTCTGATTACGAACCAATGGTGCACTTGGGCTCCAGGATCCTAAGGGACCAAATGGCATATGAACCTATTGTTGGTTACTGGCTACCATGTAGTTGCATCCCTTAACGTTGCTCCTTCACCTTTTGGAATAGACCTTTAAGTCAAAGACTCGGGGCGTGGTCTCCTAGGAAAACCACTTGTTTCGGTCTGGGCATCCAGGAAGTATCATTGCCCACACACACAAATCAAGTGACATGTGTGGTGCATATGTGTTCTTTTCTCCTTTGTACCAATATTTATGTGTTCAAATAAATAAATAAAATAAAGTTACCCAGGTAAGCGGTACAGATTGCGTACAGTTTTTTGGTATAACATCAGCATTTGAAGAGTACTTGGTCAAAACTGCTTGGAACGGATAGTGATATAAAATTTCAGTCTCAGTGCCTATATTTACAATAGCCTAATGAAATGTCTTTAGTAAGTATTATATACATAGATCTAGTCCAAGAAGCACTAGTCATTGTTAATTTTGAAGTTTTAACATCACTATTGAAAATGTGGGTTCATTTGAATGTTTATTGATTGAAAATTAACTATCCTACAAATCTTCACTTTTGATTATTGACTTCATGCAGACCAAAAAGGAATCATCAACATCTTGAAAACTTACGGGGACTGCGTCGTCGTAGGTTAAGTAACCGGTACATACTATAAATAGGTCATGAAAAGTTATCTTTGAGAAAACAGTTAGACAGTAACATATTCCTTTCTGTCTACATTCCATCCCATGACACAAACAAAGCTATAATTTAGGTTTACTTACCTGTAATACTAATTCTTCATGGATAGTTTTAGTTAAAACTTGTCTGGAACGATTGTGATCCACCATAAACCATGGACGATTTAATCCAGTTGTGACGTGTTTTAGTTGAATTTTACCTAAATGAGAGAAAAATTTAAATACAAATGGTAAATGATTTAAATTTATAAATAAATAAGCATAATATTACAACAGTAGAAATGTGATGAACTGCATATAGGTTGGTTATGTCTTAAATTTAACATCAACAGTGAAGTTGCTACTTGTAGGCAGAATAGAAATATGATTTCCAAGAAAACTGAAAAATATACAAAACAGTCTTAAAGTATTACCGTTTTACTAACCTTGACAGACAAGGATCTCAACCTTATTCTCACGTGATGTACTTTAAACTAACCTAAACAACACTCCGCTTCGATATCATGGGAATACAGTGAGTAGGACTTGACTAGCAGTGGCTGTATGTATTTTAATGATAATTAGTAGACTATAACGTCAAAATTCACTGGTACTTTAATGGAATCTGTTTCTCGGTATAGATACTGCTTTATGAATAATGATTGTAAGGATGAACTTGCACAGCTTAAATTTTCTAATGGATATTTATCAGGCGATCAAACTGAGTCGTGTCGAATACGTGTTATGTCGACTTCATTCAATATACAAAAGCAGGGTTCAAAAAATTGATGAAGGGTTATAACAAGAAATTCACCTAGATTTACACAAATCTGAACGTAAGTGATGAGAATTTAACCATCCACTGATTTATAATTTACAACTTATAGCAATCAATGAAACAAAGTAATCATAATCTAGTGTCAACGATAAACAACCATGCTAATCTGGAATGAGATTCATAAATCATGGGTTTGAACTGGAACTTCAGAAAACTTACATTAAAAAACTAACAAATAGGCCCTAAATTAGTTGAGTTATTTCATTTTAGCAGTTGAATGATAATGTAAGAGTTGAGATAATTGTAAATTAGGTATGATATACAAAAGGCACTACTAAACTCATGAACTGTTATCTGTAAGTACCAAGTAATACTATTTGATGTTAATTGAATATTTGTGAAATTTATTTTATTTCCTTAGGTCTGGAACACTTATTAAACTAGATGTTAATTTGCCACTTTATTCAACATGTATTTCGTTTATTCAGTGTTTTTCACCTGCTACTGATATCTCAAAAAAAAGAATTAAAAGCCTTAAGGAAATCATCAGTGTACTAAATTCCATAGTTTTATTGAATTTTATGTGTACACTTGAAAACAACAACAACAACTCGATGTTTACTTGATTTAACAACTCTGTTACAAAACTTATTCTAAATGAGAAAATATATAACAGTGAAATGTCATTATTAATACAGTCAAATGTATTACCGTCAGGTCCTCGTCCTCCTGTTCGTACTAATGGAAGTGGATCAACTGTGTATTGATGAGGATCCCTCATTTTACTAATTGCCCAATAGCGACTAACTGGTCGCGGATACGTTATGCCAGGACAGCGATTTAAACTACAACTTGTTGATAATTCATGTTTATAAATTTGTAGAGGATTTAAGCTAAATCTATTTTAAAATTAAAAAAGAAACACAACAACAACGTATTAACAAATCTTACTGATAGACTACGAAATATCAGTGAAAGTTACTTTCTCCACGAAATGATTCTACTATAACCAAGTTACTTTATCATATAATAATAAACAATACGAATATTCTATGTATTTATTTACCATTATTTAACCACATTAATATTGGTACAAAAGAGAACCGAATACATATGCACCACACAAGTCACTTGATTTGTGTATGGGTTATGATACTGTCTAGATACGCAGACCAAAGCAGGTGGTTTTCTTAGAGGAGCACACTTGGAGCCTTCGACCTAATGGTCTAATCTGCAAGGTAGTGGAGCAACCTAAGGAGATGCAGTTTCGTGGTAGCCGGTAACCAATAATTGGTTGATACGCCGATTGTTCCCTCAGAATACTGAAGCCCATGTGCACCAGTGGTTTGGAATCAGGGTTTTCCAACTCATCTAGGTAAATCCTCCATATCTACCGATCCGGTTAACGTGTCATACATTCGCTTTGCATACTCTGAATTTTGTGAACGACACCCCTTCCACGAGAAAGCAATAATGTAGGACTTCCCTGATAGTGGTTGTATACACGTGGCTATATAGGAGCATTTCGAGAGGGAGAGCTAACTCTGCTCACCCTCGGCCGTATCAGGACATTTGGGAACAATATTCTATGCTTAACTCATGAACTACCTCTGAAACAACGTAATGTTAAATTTTTGAAGATAATTAGTTATGTGCAACATAATTTAAGTAATAATAAGATGATAAGAAAATTGAAAGCAATGCTTTAGATTAAAAATCTACTTATTCCAGAAAATACCTAAATACAAGTTAAATTTTAATTTTTAAACTACCATAGATGCTAGGGTTAAAGCTATCACGAGTTCACATAATTTGCGTACGAGAAACAAGACTCAGTGACCAAAGACCAGTAAGCTAGCTATTGATGCGTCCCAGCACCGCTAACTAGAGGGAGAAGTCCAAGCTTGGAATGGGGAAGTACATTCTGCAAACAGCCAGAAACGAGCGATAACAACAATTACAATTCAAAACGTATATATACAGTACAAAACCGTCCTTGATGAGAGTTACCAAATCGCATACTAAAAGACGCAACGGACAAATAGCATTTAAGATATTCCCCAATGAGAAATACGACATGAAGGTGACAAGATCGCCTTTGGCGCGAAAACAAAGAAATTCAAATTTTCTAAATGAAATTACAAAATTAGGTCCTTTCCCAAGTGAGTTCTAGGGATCTAACGTCCCCAACAATAGATCATTTGTTTTTTGCAGGTAATAAAGGATTATAAGATTTATATTACTCTAGAAAACCAATGACGTGATATTATGAGTAGACTTTAGTTATACATTTAACATATTATTGATAGTTCCACTTAGATTAAAAGAAAAATGTGATTATTAAAGCTAAGTGTGTATGTAGTGAGACTGTCTTCAAAATTACAATGGTGAAATAATTGATATTCATTTATGGTCGTGACTACTGGTAGACTAAAATTAGTACAGTATATAACGTTCCATTACGTGAAGTCCTGAATTCCAATCCATATTCAAAGTGCTACGTGTAATCAATTAAGGAACAAAATGGAAAAGCATATCTTGTATAGCCAAACAGAAAGAAAAAAGTGCATAAAAATCAACTTACTTAGTAAGATTCAATGGTGAAAAATTGAATGATTTAAACAATTTGTTTCCCAAATTGAAATTTGTATATAACCGTACAGAATTAATAAACTGATTACAGAGATTCATTTGAATACCTGAAATTTAATAATTTATTGTGAATAAACCATTTCCTGAGATTGAAATGATGTAAACAGTCAATAGATTGCCAAAGTTTGATGAATTAAATAGAATATTCAATATAAAACACTTAAACCTAAAATTCTGATACCTAGTCATTAGTGTGGTGTGAACTACTTATATATACATAAGTAATATATAACGATAGTCAGTAATAGAATGTATTTCAGTAGAAGATCGAAAAGGAAACAACGGGAACGGAAAACAATTGATATGAAAATGCAAGAATAATGAAACCTGAGACGATGGACTGATATTTGCAAATGGAACAGTCAAGTTTGACACAACTGATTAATATTTTGCAAATTAACTATTTACGGTATGGTACTCAGATTTTAGTAAGACGTTCTGTAATATATATTATGTTCAAATATATTCCATTGTCCCCACTCGTGTTCTTGTTCACTACAGTGGGATTAAGTGAGAGATGATAATTCTTATGATGGTAAAATCGTTACATATGTATGTTATGATTAGTTGAATAATTGAAAATGTGACGATTTGAAAGTAATCCTCTGAGGATGCGATAACATACACATTTGGATTGTGATTAGTCAGTCAATCATCTACAACGTAGGACCAGGCACATATATGCATCGGTCCAAGTTGCCACACCTCATTAGCACGTGGCCCAACCATCTCAGTCGATGAAGATTTACAACCTCATCAACTGATTTAGCATCCTTTCCTAATACCCTGCATCTAACCTCACTATTACTTACCCGGTGATCCCAGCAATATTTCTAAGACATCTGTGGTCAAATACTAATAGCTTACGAATGTCTTCTACTCTTAATGGCCATGTTTCGCTGCCGTAAATTAAAACAGAACGGAGTGCCGCGCAGTATACTAGTCCTTTTATTGATAGACGGATATCTCGCCTTCGCCATAGGTGACGTAATTTGGCAAAAGCCAAACGAGCTTTGCGAATCCATCCTGAGATTTCGTCAGACACCAACCCATTAAGGTTGATCAGACATTGTAATCTATTATTTGACTCAATAATTGTTAGCACGTAATTTTCTGTTTAATTAAGTACTGGTAATTAATTATAAACATGTTCAGTTGTGTACCATAAGTAACCCTAGTTATGTACATGTTAGTAATTAAGTCTTCCTTTTTTTGTGTGCATAATCAGATTATTTTTGAAGTTTGATGAAACTAAATGATATTTTTCTAGTGTTCTAATGTAAAAATAAATTAAGAGATTTGGGAGAATGTAATCAGTGCTTTAATCAAATGTTGAGTATATCCACTAACTGGGCTATTGAATATAGTCGGGATAAGGGAAGAAAATTCATAAGAGTATGGTACATAGTTTATCGATTATATAAATGCCGACCTACAACCACCAGATTAGAATATTAGGCATACATGCGACTTAATCGTTGTTGATAGTAAACAGCTCTAATAATAAAAATATCACAGCATAAGCTTTTCAAAAATGGCTATTTTACAAACTCAACAGTTGGCAAACTAGCAGAATCAAAACATCCTGTGAAGCTGTACCATACCACAGGGCGACCTTGAAATCTTACCACTTTCAGTCAATCAGGAAACAGTAGAGATAAATAAGCAATTTACTATGGTAGGATTCAAGGTTAGAATTCTTTAACTATAGGCGATGTCAGTTCGCAATAAAAGTCTTAACACTAACCGTTGATTCTATTTTAAAATAAGGCTTCTTTTACCCAGCCACTAAAAATCTATCCTTATTACCGATATTTCACTTTCAAAAGTCTCCCAAAAACTGAGAGCTGGTAAATTGTCATTCAGTCATAGTCCGGATACGAATGCAGTGGACGTGTTTCTATGTTATTAGGTACAATCTGGCCAAATAATTACTAGAAAGTGAGATTAACAATAACGAAAAGACCAAGATCCATACATATTGTTGCGTAGACAGAGGTATGGTTTATTTTTTTCTATTTATCTTTTTCCAGCAAGGTTGTTTTCTGCGGGAGGGGGCTCGCTGGCCATATGTCCAACCCTCCTCCTTAACCCAGGCTTGAAGCCTAGAAAAGCCTTAGAAGTACAACAGGAGAAAAGTAAGATACTGAAATACAATGCAGGGAACACTAACCCAATCACACCTGAAGAAAAAGCTCTGGTAGAGGTGGAAAGTTTTACATACATGAGCAGGATAATCGATAAAATAAGAGGATGTGATGCAGATGTAAAGGCAAGAATTAGCAAAGAAAGGAAAGCATTCCTACTATTGAAGAACATATGGAACTCAAAACAACTTTCAATCAACATTCAAGTCAGAATCTTCAATGCGGATGTCAAGACAGTTCTACTGTATGGAACTGAAACTTCGAGAACTACCACAAACTTCATCAAAAAAGTAAAAGTATTTATAAACAATTATCTACACAAGATACTCAATGTCCCTTGACCGCATACCATCAGCAACAGCCTACTGTGGAAGAGAACAAACCAGCTTCCAAATGAAGAGGAAATTAGAAAATACGTTTGAGGCGGATAGAAAATACATTACGGAACTTGTCAAACTACATTACGAGTCATAGCCTAACTTGGAATCCTACGCGGAGGGGAAAGAGAAAGACCAAAAAATATATTGCGTTGGGAATTGGAAGAAGATATGAAAAAAAATGAATAGGAACTAGAAAAGATTACCTAGGGCAGAGTTAGATAGAGAATACTAGGGGATGGTCTATGCTCCTCCACGAGGAGTAACAGGCGTAAGGAAAAAGTAGACAGTGATCAGTTGTTTCTCCAGGTAGAGCGGTAGACAATATGACAGATGTATGACATTTTCCTGAACTTTTTACTTACTCAGTTATCTATTATTACACGTGCTAAACAGGCTAATTACGTGTTTTGATTTGAGTTGTGTGTTTTGGTAGACTAGTTCCTGGCTAACCATCTAATATAGAGTAAACCATATGTGCAATAAAATCGTTAATAGTTCGTTCATAGCAAACTAGAGTGTCATTAGTATTCAGAAATAATAAAACATTACTTTCAGAATGGGGGTTTGTGAAGATTGTACTAATTTAATAGTTGAATTCATGAATCGATTTAGGTTAGATCACTTTTGAAAACCTGGAAGCACTGGACAGCCGTTTCATCCTAGTATGGGACTCCTTAGCAGTGTGCGAAGGTCCTGGGTACTTATTATTATTATTTTATTTGAACACATAGATATTGGTACAAGGAGGCACCAAATACATACACCACACAAATCTCATTCGATATGTGTGAGGGCTGTGATACTGCTCGGGTGCCAAAACCGAAGCAGGTGGTTTTCTTAGGGGGCCACACCCCGAGCCTTCTACCTGAAGGTCTGATCCACAAAGCAGTGGAGCAACGTAAGGAGATGCAGTCCCATGGAAGCCGGTGACCAACAATTGGTTCATACGCCATTTGTTCCTTCAGGATACTGGAGCCCATGTGCACCATTGGTTTGGAATCCGGTTAAAGCGCCGGACATTCGCTTTTCGTCCTCTCATTTTCGTAAACAACACTCCCGCTGCGAGAAGGCAGTGAGTAAGACTTCCCTGGCAGAGGCTATATACGCGTGGCCATGTGAGAGCATTTCGAGAGGGAGAACGGACTCTCCCCACTCTCGGACGTACAAGTGCAGTCTACGAATCTATACATCTTTACATTTAGTTCTTTTCAAATGTCTCAACTAACTTTAATTATAAATAGCATAATTCAAACAAATCTGTAACCAACACATACCTAAACATACAACAACAAAAAATGAAAACTGAATTTCTGTCCAGAACTTATATTTAATTTAATCCTTATAAATAAAAAATACCCCCCCAAAAAAAGATTCTAATTACATTTTATGTATAAACTAATTCATTATGAATAAATATGATAATCTTCTATACATGCAAATGTACATTTTGTATTTCTATTATATACAGTTAAATAGAAAGATATAAACCATATCAAAAAAAAAATACTGAAGCTATTCAATTCTATGTTAATATTCGTTATAAATAAGACATGAAATATAATTTCATATGAATAAAGATACAAAAGAAAAAATGCAAAAGTTTAAATAGCTACATGACTTTTAAGTAACCAATTTTGTTGTATATTAGAAGAATTTATAGTATATGCTAAATCCATTATTTGTGGTATAATTTTTGTTTGTATAGTTGTTTTATCAACACTATGAAGAGAGATACAATGAAATAAACCATTCTTTTTAGCATCTTCAATTATATGACGACGATTTTTGATATATAATGGATCATAATGATGTCGAAGTAAACCTGTTACAAAACTGGTGAAATCTTCACGATATACCATATCAGTCCATTGATTAATCAATTTATCTGGTATATATTCATTTAAACTATTTATAATAAAAAGAGAAACTAAATGAAGTCAAGCATAAATAAGACAAATACAATGTTATAAAAAGTTATTTTTTTTCTCACCTAAACACAACGACTAGGTAATCATGAGACAATTAAAGCCATTAATGTAATCCAACTAAGAAAAGATGAAGGCATATAAAGAGCGGGATATTACAAGCCCTGTAGATTTAATGTATGACGAGACATTGTCCTAAAAAATAAACTATGCGAATCATCAACAATATAAGCTTGACACAGACATGCATCGAAACATATCACATTAGCAAAACGAGATAAAAATTAACGACAAGAAAGACAGATATAATGTTGTACAAAACATTGATAACGAAGACTAGAGATCGAGGATGTGATTTGAAAAGAGAAGATGGAAAGGTATGTATGTGATGGAACAATGGACTCCATAAAAAAAAGTCAGTCAGTCTGTTATAACGTAGAACCTGTTATATATGTACATCGGTTCAAATTGCCATAACCCAGTAACAGACCAAGATGAAATTTTCAGGTCAAATCACACGATAGTAGAAATAGTAATAGTGACACTGGTAATACAAAAGATTGGGCATCGAAGACAACATTTGAGAAAATATAAAATAGTGAAACAAGAAAATCGTGAGGGATTTATGAAGTCAGAATTCGCGAAAAGACAAATAGTGGATGCGCCTGAGCCATTACAAACAATTTTACATCACGTCATTCAAAGTCTCTAACCACTGATTACGATAATCACGTGGACAATCTAAAGCCAGTTCGATTGTCAATGACTTTATGGATTGGTCCCACGGCTTGGTTTGGTCTCGAGCTATCTCTCATATTACTCCTAAATCACACGAAATCGACCATCGAGGATGACACTGCTCGAGCATATGTATCACATGTTTTAATCACCTCAGTTCGTGAAGATTTACTAACTTACCAATCGATTAGCCATCCTTATTTAGTACTCTATTCCTAACCCAATGAACGCGTACTAAATGGATCCAAAATACGTGAACAATGTTCCGAAGACACCTACTAGTGACATACGAATATCCCCTATCCTTAATGGGCATGTCGCACATCCATAAAGAAGGACGAAGCGAACTGCTGCGTGGTAAACTCGTCCTTTGGTTGGAAGACGAACATCTCACTTACATCACAAGTGATGCAAATTGGCAAAAGCCAATCGAACTTCTCGAATCTATGTTGAGATTTCATTAGACAACAGCCAATCAGAACTGATGAGACTCCTAAGATAAGAGTAACAATACACGCACTCAACTACTTCGTACTTGTCACTAATTGGATGCTGATGCATATCAGTGCCGAAGCAACATTTTCCATCTAGAAAAAGAAACACATCCCAAACATGCTTGCATTATTCCTTAAAGCGCTCAGAAGATTATCAATTTTGTCAGTGCCTTCACCAAACAGAACTATATCATTTGCGTATACTAAGAAAACAAGAGAATATCTTGGTGGAAGATCAATCCTTGAAAAGTCGGACGATGAATGTATTATTTTTAAAAGTATATCTATGACAAAGTTAAATAAAAATGGGGAAAGCAGACAACCCTGACGAACACTACAGGAAGTTGAAAATTCTGATGAGTTGAACATAAGTTTTAACTCAAACACCAGTGTTCAAGTAAAGAGCCTGTACAAGGTTGATATACGACTTTGGTATGCTTTTAAATGATAGAGACTGCCACAGTCTACAGAGTCGAATCCTAATTTAACATCAAAAAACAAAATTTATACTCAGGTATCGAAAAGTATGGGCTAGATGACATTAGTCAGTAAGGTGCAATTGCGATCCTGAGTAAATTACTGTTCACTACCGGATCCCGAACTGAGTTATTCAGCCTCGCAGTCTGAAACGTTACCACTCAGATGTTTTGCAGATACCGATATTCTGCATGACAAATATTTATCAACTACCTCCAGTCATCTACCTACCTACCATAAAAAAATAGGCCAGGCAATTTCAAATCATTTAGACCAGACCAGATTGCAAATTGTTCAATAAAATTTGTCTAGCACTGAGGACTATACAAATATGATACTAGCCACTACTCAGTAATCACTAGTTGTACTTAACTGTATACCTTTCACCATTGATTATCAATTCTTCTACACATAGTAGAACTATGTTCGGGTTATTCAACTGAGTTAATCTATATAAAAAAACCGAAAGCAAAAACAAAGTTGATGAAAAAAATGTAACTTATTCGTGTTATAACCGATGAATCACTAAGTAGTGAAGAATTTATCGTTTACCTTTTATTGCTAAATATATTTTATTCAAAATGTAGTAATCTGTCTGGTAGTTCAAGTAACTCAACATTACATGTATTATGATGAGATGTTTAATGATAGCAGATCGTCAATAAGAAAACTTGAATTAACTTTTACTCCACACAATCAATACTCACCTTTTGAGAATAGCTAGAACTTTTGGAATATTCCGAGTAACAGTAGAATAATTTTCTAAAATCCAAGCAACTCTTGCTTCTTCTGTAATATCAATCCATAATCGATGGGTGCCAACATTTGGATCTGTAGATCTTAATCGTGACCATAAACCATCAGATAACCCACAAACTGGTCCAATATGCCGTGATTCGCATTCGATCCATAAAATATTTTTGCAGGATGACAATCGATGCTTATTTGTCATCATTACATGATGAAGTTTAGATTCAAAAAACTTTTGTTGACTACGTTTATTGGTAGAGCTTTGGTGATCGCTAGTGTCACTATTTGATAATACACTATCGCCACCAAACATTGAACCTTTATGTTTAGCCAAAGCTTCTAAATCGAAAACGGTTTCACCATGATCGTGTAACTCTTGAAGTATTAAAGATTTCCCGGAACCTTTTATGTGATCAACAAGCAAAGAAAGCAATGGAAAAAAATTAAACACTCATATACATAGTTCTTTATACTAGCCTAAAGAGAGCAAGGACAAAATTTTAAGTAGAATAACACGAATCCTTTTTTCGTCGTTAGTTTCTCGTCAAAATACGCCTAAAGCTATTCTAGGGTTACTCCCGGTCCTAAAGGGTTGATCGTAGGATTAGCGATCCCATCCTACAAAAACGACCTTGGTAAAAAAACGCCAACCAGTAAAAATCATTCGAAATCTACCTTGAGAGTCAAAAGGTCTTCATTTAGGAGCGTTATGATGCCCCAGAACAACACGATTAATATATGTACATGAAATGTCTACATGAAGACTATCTTTGGTAAGTGCTATTATATTATGATCATAAAGAAGACAATGTCCCACATACACGAGCGGTTGCACTGATGTTCTCCAAAGAAACTAGAAGAACGCCTATAAAATAGGAATGTCATGGCTTCAGGATTATCGAAGCATCCTACAAAGCAAACAAAGGAAGAGATAACGAAGAAACTCATCCACTCTTACGCATCCATCAATGAAAGCAGCGACGATGATAAAGATCAATCTAATAAGAGAATGGAGTCCATCGTACAGAGTAACCTACAAAAAGAAATGATCATCCTGATGACGGACTTGAACGTCGGGGTCGGTGTGAACAACGGGTATGAAGAAATCATGGGGCGACATAGACTGGGAGAAAGAAACGAGAATGGTGAGAGATTGACAAGTCTGTGTTTCCAACAACATGATTATAAGTGGCTTCGTCCCCTCCTCACGAACTCAGAGTAGAAAGTTACCTCATCAAAGTACCAAAAAACATCATACAAACTGTGAGAACTACAGAGAAATCACACTAATATCAATAATTGGCGAAGTTTTCAGAAAAACGAAACTGAACTGTCTCTACTTCCTGTTGTACATAGAGAGCTGTTTGCTTTTTAAGTTAAGGTTTGAGAGGTGTGTATGTCTATGAACCTACTGGATATCGAATTTAGAATATGTATCATTGATAACACAGAGTCAAATAAGAACATTTAAAGATATACGTCAGTTGTTATAAATCCTCGGTTGAGCCTTTGCAGTTGAAGGTAAAAGCTGGGATTCCGTAAAAAAAAATGCAGACTCGTATGTTTAGTTATACATCGAAGAACTTGGAAAACCAGACGGTGATAATACGTGACTGCTTATACCGAAATAGTGGGAGAAGATTTCGAATCTAAATTGAAATAATGACCAATAAACTGATTGTATTTTGTAACTGAACAACAATACACATTTCTCACACTCTTGAAGATTAAAAAGTAACGCTCATAAGTTATTAAAAGTAGTATCGTTCTAAAATCAATCACCAGAAATACATATGACATAATTCCGTTAAGACAAATGACACCAGTGTAAAAACTTACCAGTAAGACCAGATATGACCCAAAACGGACTCAGTATAGACCAACGAGGCCATGCATCTAACTGACGAAGTAGAAGTCTACGCCAAGAACGATATCCACCAACAAGTGTATATATATTACCCGGCCAGCCTACTTCAGATAATATAGTTGCTAAAGAATTAGATCTTTGACCTCCACGCCAACAATAAATAAAAAAATCGGGATATTTTATAATTTTTTTGTTTTCATTAGAGTGATGATTTATAGGAACCGAATTGTCTAGTTGTAAACCATATTGATAAGAAAGTTCTTTCAAACAACGACTAATATTGGCACAGACCAAAGATGCACCATAAAGGCGAGCTTGAATACGATCACCTATATGTATTGGAAAAACAATAATATACAGAAAAATATTCTAAAAATGTGAGGTCAATATATTTTTTAGCTGTAAGAAATTTACACACAGATAATTTCAAAGATTTGGAGGAGAATAACATGAATTTTGAGTAGTTTTTTTGTTAAACTCATTTTCGCTTTTGTGAGACGTGCATTAAACTTCAGAAACTCATTAAGTGACTTAAATGCAACAGGGTCCACACGCGATTTTAGAATATTAAAGATTCCCATTGTGAAAATTAGAACAACATCTATAGTACAATGTTCTTCTTCCATATAAAAACTATACATTTGAAAAGTTATACTGATGTGTGTATGTTAAAACTACTTCTGATTAAATTCATTTTATAATGATGAATTTAAAGTAACACAGATGATATGTACACGACGAGAACTTAATGAAATAACTTCTACCTGAAATTTGTACTGATATTATCGTTCAGAAGAAAGCTCCATGACTAAACCATCTAGCTCAGAGAACGAAACTCCATCAAAATTCATGTTATTCTATTCATATAGTCATTACTGTTTGTTTCAAGATAATGAAGGGGACATTCATCTACGAACTGAGTGGAAGATATGCTTTTTTGGTAAACGTGTTAAGCTAACAATACGAAATTATTTGAACCATGAACAGTAAGTTGTGGTGATATTCTTCAAAACTGAACTCGACAATTTGTTAATTATGCTTAAATACTTTATGCATGTGAATTTAATTTCAAACGAAAGGACTACTTAAATATTCGCATTACCGTTCACTGGCTCAGTAGTCTAGTATTTAGGTGCTCGCGAAACCGAAGGTTCCAGTAATATTTCCAGTTGGAGCGTGGATGCATATTGTTTAAAGGTCTCGTACCACAACTTGACAGTTTTTAAGTGCTTTCTGGTTGTCACACTAAAATCAACGGATGAGGCATTCTATGGAAATTCAACATCTACAAGCCTCCAAAAGTAATAATAGTCATGTTTTTACGTGTGACTTACTTTGATATGTATTTTCAATAGTTCTAGTGAGAAGCCGTGACTAATAGGGTTAAACTATGTTGCGCGTGAGGCAATGATCCAATGTAATTAATGGAAGATAGCCGAGCAATATCACCAAGTGATTGGAGTTACATATGTAAACCATTGAAAACAGGGTTCAGCTGTCTAGAGATCAAGCACCTAAGGATAGAAGTTGTGAACGCACACAATTGAGGACAAAAACAGCTGTCCATCGGTCCATAACTTGGAGTTATAGTTGTGTGATTAAGATCAATCGGTAATGCAATCTGTGAGAAGAACTAGTGTTCGAATCATTGAGATTGTATTAAAAAGTCAAACAATTGAACTAATGAGATTAGCTTATAACGGCGTACATATATATTGACCGCCACACGTTCATTTACTCGTGACATCTACAATATATTGCTTCATGCCTTACTAGCATCATTTAACACCTTATGTTTATCAGAAAAACCTACTTGTGGAAACACCTTGATCTTAAATAAGTGATTGTAAAACATTTACAAAACGAATAATTAATGTACTTAACAGTAATTAACCAGTTTAAACAAAAATATATACTTCAATGGCTTAATATTGTTCGCAATAGTTAATTTAGCAATGACGGTTTCAATATTGAACATTGGATTTTGGGTATACATATATAAATCACATTTCGCATGATAAAGATAATCAACATTCATGTCGATTCACTAATAAACATTACATGCGTAAAACCATTGAAAAAAAACAACAATGAGACTAATAACTTATGGACGACTTATGAACAACGCTAAAATGACCTTAGAATGTTCATCTACTTAATAGCGGTAAATGAGAGTTATAAATTAGTGTGAGGAATTAGAATAAGAATTTACAGTTGTATATTAGGGTTAGGAATTACATTAAGCGTTTTCATCACGAACTGACATCAACTATAATGCCAAAATGGTATTTAACCAAATGAGTGAATGAATTTCGCGTCGAAATCCAAGATCTGTTATCTTAAATCTGAATGGTTCGTCCATAAATTATAATCTTGCCATTGACCGGCGAATTTATTGCTAACAGATTATTTTGCTGAAATTCTCTTTGTTTTTCATAATATAATAAGAATTGCAAGAATTATTAGCAGAATGGCAAACTTTTTTATAGCCGAATAAGAATATTCAATCCAAAGATAATAAATACAAGAAACGTTAATAGTAGATCGATCTATATTTATTTATTTATTTATTTCAACACAGATATTAGTACAAAGAGGCACCAAATACATATGCACTACACAAATCTCATTCTACATGTGTGAGTGCTGTGATACTGCTCGGGTGCTCAAACCGAGGCAGGTGGTTTTCTTAGGGGGCCACACCCCGAGCCTTCGACCTGAGGGACTGATTCACAAGGCAGTGGAGCATCGTAAGGAGATGCAGTCCCATGGCAACCGGTGACCAACAATTGGTTTATACGCCATTTGTTCCAGCAGGAAACTGGAACCCATGTGCACCATTGGTTTGGAATCCAGTTAAAGCGCCGGACATTCGCTTTTCGTCCTCTCATTTTCGTAAACAACACCCCCGCCACGAGAAGGCAGTGAGTAGGACTTCCCTGGCAGAGGCTATATACGCGCGTCCGTGTGAGAGCATTTTGAAAGGGAGAGCGAACTCTCTCCTCTCTCGGCCGTACCAGGGCATTTGGGGGCCTCGATCTACATTAAAAAATACAAGCGCTAATTTTGACGAAAAATCTTCCATGATAATTATTAACTTCAAGTTAAAATTATTCTCCATCGTTGGATGCCGGCTTAGTAGTTTAGAGGTTAAGTGTTCGCATGAGACCGGAGGTTCGGGGTTAGAGTCCCGTGTGCAGGATCATGAACACGCACTGCTGAGGAGTCCCATACTAGGAAGAAAAAACGGCCGTCCAGTGCTCCCAAGTTTTCGATGGTGGTCTAACATTGATCCATTCAGGATACCATTTTAAAATCAATAATCTCCACAACCCTATACTGATAATTATTCTCTACACAGACAGTAAATTTAGATTATTAGTTTGTCTCATCTATCGAAAGTAAGATGCCTGGAGGCAGATGGTTAAGAAGATCGAAGAAAATAGAATAAGAACAGGGAGTGACTGGCGTGAAAACGAAGGAACAGTCAAGTCTGAGACAATTAATTGACATTTTGGAAATGAATGATTTACTGTATGGTTCTCAAATTTTACCGAGATATTCTGTAATGTTGTATTGAAATACATTTAGGTTGTCCCTGTCTGTGTTCTCGTTCACTACAATACAACGTGGTAAATGTGGAAAAGATTTATATACATTATTTTAGCCATAATTTGAAAACTATTGTTACCAGTGAACTGTCCATATTTCAAGAAATGAAGTAATTTGAACCAAGAATTCAGGAGACATCAAGAATGAAGAATGTATTTGTGAGATCACAGCGAACGAATTTGAAGTAATAAATCCAAAGTTCCACTTGGCAAGCTGGTCCAAGTTTTTTTAAGGAAATATAATCAAACACCAAAGTTCTTATATAAAGAATTCAGGAGAGTTAACCTAAATATTGAGTTTTCCACACAAATAATTAACGTAGCAGCTTACCTTGATTGTATAAACGGCCAACGATTGCTCTTTCTTCATTATTTAAAACAGGAAGATTTATTGCTCCGTGAATGTGATCTTCATTAAATTCATCAGGACTTCGTACATCAATAATGATTGGTTTCGAAATAGAATCGGAAAATACACTTGACCATGTGCAACAACCTGCAGGACCTGATTCCGGTGGAGGGGGTATAGTTGGATGCCATGCGTCATGTGAAGCATATGGTTCAGAAATCAAGGTCACCAATTTGAAAGATTTCTTTGGTTTGCTAGCAACATATGAACTTAAAAAGGATTGTGGTTGTTGATTGGTTATAGGTAAGGAAATTCGATTACCATAAAATAAACATAGGTGGGAACACCAAGATGAACGATTGAAGTGATGTATCTATTCCAAATAAAAATGTGAGTTATAGCCTAATGCATATAAATTACTGGAACGTCAAACGCAAAAAATCCAATAGCTATTCGTTTAATGTAACTCCAAGCTAGACAATTGTTTACTAAGCGTTCTAACCATAAATTACTTTTTCTAATTATATCTAGGTATATCAGTAATTATGAACGGATTCTTAATATTCTGTAACAAGTAGCTAATAATCTTACTTTACAGGTTTTTTTTATTAATTCAGCCAAATCGATTAGTAGATGACTATCAGTAAAGGAACCAAGTTGCTTGAGGTTCGGTAAATAAACCAGTATTTAGTGAATGAATTACAATATTAGAGCTAACAAATGGTAAAATAATGAGACTAAGGATTGGTACGTAATAATTCTTTCAGTTTCTTACAAACAGTTCATACTGATGAAAAAACATGAGGATACCTCAGGAATAAAAGCCACAGAAGAGTGTTTTCAAAATAACTTCACTCAACAAATAACAATTTCAGTTATGTTCACATACGGACACGATCGAGTGAGAACGAAGTTATGGGGGAAGTAATAATTAATCATCTTTAAGATGACGTTAAGTGAAACAAGTATATGGTAGAACTATACACACTGAAGCATCATACAGTAAAACTATTACAACCAAAATAACTTTCGCAGTACACTATTCTACATTTGGCTCGAATTGCGAATGTCCCAAAATATACCATTAGGAGTGTGATGTTAAAACAAGTTCATTTTAAAAGCATTTAAAACTCCGAATTTGGAAGGCTTAAATCACAAATACAAACACCAATCAACTGGCAATATGTAATTTACGGAAACTGTACCTCAAGAGATAATACAACGAACTAAAGATTGAAGGTTACAGCGTCAACGAATACGTTCTTGAAGCCATCTCAATTCCAAAGTTAGAATGATGAGTGTGAATGTGTCTCCCTACATCCCCTACCAACTTGGGAACGATAGAAAAACGTGTAGTTACACTTTCTAACACTTATTCAAAGAAACTATCGAGAATTGAACTAATTGACATAAACACCTAAACAATAATCGTAAACATACATGAGATAAAATCCAACATTCTAGTGAGGTTTTTGCTACTACGGTTTCACCATATTCAGTGATGAAACCAACATAATGGGATTCGATTATCGTCGCTTTATTAATTGAACTTGGAATGGTGAATCAATGGATTCTAATATAATACCTTAAATAATAGTAAAGCGAACTTAAAGCATTTGAAGTCGATTCTCGGCGAGGTTGTGAATGCCCGTTATCCAGAACTCTCGATAACAGAAGAAACGGCTCTCCCTAGTAGAAATCAATCCATGAAGTATTTTTACAACTAATTAACAAAGCAAGCTATATGAATTATTTTATCCATTATTTTTAAAATGTAAATGGACTCACATAAAATCTCATTAACGAACAAGCGCTTGTTAAGCCAATCACAAAAGGTTGTTGGATATATATATTAACAAAGGAATTTTTTGTAAGCCATCAGTTAGAACATAGCCTTCTCTTTTATTTATAACAGTTTAAACAAATCTAATAAAACACAATACAAATAAAGGGACTTAGTTGAAAAAATATATTTTAGTTCATCACGGACATAAGTGGTTAGATGTCATCGAACAATCGAACATTGTTGAATGAAGTTACTTTTGACAATACACTACACTGGGATGGGTTTCAGGGATCATATCCAAAACTAGATATAGTTCGGTCATCCTCCAAATTCGAAAGCTAAACACGTCCAGAATGGTTTCAAATTGTAACGGGGTCAGATTGATGCTTAGCTTTGGAAAAAATAACCATTTAGTAACTCTAGATGACAGAGATTGTTTATTTTCGAATTGCGGAGAAATGTAGGGAGGAAATAAAACAGTGAATCAATAAATTTATACATGGATAATACAATTAAAATATTGAGTATATGGAGGTATAGATTTGGCGAATAATAGTAAAATGCTATGAATTCTTGCTTTTTGTATCCTATATTAAAGTTATCTTGCGATTTGACGCTGTCCGTGAATTCGGACTGAGGTAAACAACTAATGTTAAAGAATAACGCAAACTCTTATGTCAAATATTTGTTTCCTTAGAAAGAAACATCAGCGGCTATGTGTTCATGACAGGAGATAGTCAGAAGCACGCCATATTAATTATTCGGATGTGGGATCAGATTACCTGACTGTTATTGCTACCTTGACGTGGTGGTCGGGCTTGCCTATCGCAATTAACCAATTGAACTATATTGGCTGCAACAATCGTTCCTCAAGGTCCTACCATGTCAGACAGATCGGTTGAAAAGCGGTAAGACTAAAAGCAACAAACCCAAAGTCCGAAGGTGAAGTCGTACTGCTGACTGTACAGAAATGTGACAGCAGTATGGTGTTTCCTTCAGACAGCCAGCATAACAGCGATGCTGCATTCCCACAAGGAGGGGTGGGGTTAGAAAAGGTCGACCCTAAAAACGCACACCTCGCCTTATCCCATGGATATCCGTCTCCAGCGGGAAGGTCTCAACAAGTACGGAGCTAACACGGAAATAACTAACAAAAAGGTCGTGTGTGACCGACCTCAAGCAGGGCACTGCGGTCATGCTCTCAGGTCACTAAGACCACCTCTAATCCAATTTTCTTTTCAGGCACCTCCAGAAGAACCCTTCCACGGTGTGGGCAACCGGGAAGTGATAACCGCTTTTATACCTCTAACAGCACTTAAGAACACTAAGGGATCAGATGAAAATATTCATCTCAGAAGTATATGAAAATATTTTGACAAGAATTTAAGGTATGATTTCTGTTAACATTTAGCCATCAGATAAAACCAATTTTTAGGTTTTATCTTTAATAATTTTACCTGTTAAATATATGTGTCATTAATTTCAATCCTAGAAAGTTAACCGATCAAAATTTATGTTATCATCAATGTAAAAACTAAAGGAAATTAAAACAGTTGTTAGATGATGATTCATTGTCGATATAAACTTGGCCTAATGATAAACGACATCGTATAGGATGAAATAATAATGAAAGTATCCAAAACTAACTTTAAGCTCAATAATAATGAGCATCAACAAATCGTATGTACTAGATATCATTACATCTAGTACTGACTTGAATACATACAAATTCAAAAAACCCTTAACACTGAAACGTTAAATGTTCTACGCTCAAAATACATAAGGGATAGAAATATTTATGTAAATATAATAAAATACATTTCTTAACTACATTAATTTATAAAAAAAATGGTTAGTTATTCAATACAAAGCGGTATAACTACATTCAATAATATAATTTTGAATGATCCATGCATTATCTTTCGTGAACAAACATAGCCACGCGTATATAGCCTCTGCCAGGGAAGTCCTACTTACTGTCTTCTCGTGGCATCGCTGTTGTGTGCGAAATTCAGAGGACGAAAGGCAAACGTCCGGCGCTTTAACCGGATTAGTAGACACGGAGAGTTGGAAATACCCTGATTCCCAACCAATGGTACATATGGGCCCCAGTATCCTGCGGGGACAAATGGCGTATGAACCAATTGTTGGTCACCGGTTACCATGAAACTGCATCTCCTTACGATGCTCCACTGCTTTGTGGATCAGACCTTCAGGTCGAAGGCCCAAGGAGTCGCCCCCTTAAGAAAACCACCTGCTTCGGTTTGAGCACCTGAGCAGTATCACAGCCCTCACACAAATCAAATGAGATCTGTGTGGCGCATATGTATTTGGTGCCTCATTGTACCAATATCTTTATGTTAAAATAAATATAAATAAATAAATAGAACAAATAGATACAGATACACCTTGAACTTTATAAGTACAAACATACACTAAATGTTACCCTTAACAAACAAATAAACAACAACGACAACAGCTATGTTGAAAATAACTTTCAAATATCTCATATAAACATTCTCATGAGTAGAAAAACAAAAGAAAAAGAAAATTCACCATAAAGTAGTATCATTTGAAAAGAGAAAATAAAACAACAAATAATGTTATATTTATTATGACAATTAAAATAATCATATACAAAGACATAAGACATAATAATCATGTTATCAATCATTAATAAATAATTTGTTTTAATGAAGTTAATTGATAGTGATCAAATGATTTGCATTATAATTATCATCCAAATGAAGTTTTATAGATAATGTTCTAGGTGTTGTAATATCACTAACATGAATTATTTGACCATTAATAAGACCAAGTTCTATTAATAAATAAATAAATATAAACAATCAATGATAAGCATACTAATATACAATAGAATGATGTTTACACACGAAAAGATTATTGAATATAATCTAAATGTTATTAAAATTATTAAGATAAATAACTATTTTAATATCATAGTCCAATCATTTAGATATGTTGTTAACTTTATTTATTTATTTATTTCAACACAGATATTAGTACAAAGAGGCACCAAATACATATGCGCTACACAAATCTCATTCGATATGTGTGAGTGCTGTGATACTGCTCGGGTGCTCAAACCGAGGCAGGTGGTTTTCTTAAGGGGCCACACCACGAGCCTTCGACCTGAGGGTCTGATCCACAAGGCAGTGGAGCATCGTAAGGAGATGCAGTCCATGGTAGCCGGTGACCAACAATTGGTTCATACGCCATTTGTTCCCGCAGGATAGTGGAACCCATGTGCACCATTGGTTTGGAATCCGTTTAAAGCGCCAGACATTCGCTTCTCGTCCTCTCATTTTCGTAAACAACACTCCCGACACGACAAGGCAGTGAGTAGAACTTCCCTGGCAGAGGCTATATACGCGTGGCCGTGTGAGAGCATTTCGAGAGGTAGAGCGGACTCTCCCCACTCTCGGCAGTGCCAGGGCATTTAGGGGCGTTGTTAACTTTGGAATTTAATAGTTGAATTCATGAGTCAATTGAAGCTAGATCACTATAGAAAAGTTGGAAGCATTGGACGGTTGTTTCGTCCTAGTATAGGACTCCTCAGTAGTGTGCATCCACGATCTCCCCTCGCGAGATTCGAACCCAGAGTCTATCAGTCTCGCATATGAATGCTTATCCACTATAACACTGAGTCGGGATCCAACGGTGTTAATGTCTTCTACAAATAAACTTTAGAATTATATTAAATAGATTTGAAAAAATTAACAGATTTTATAAAGTGAACGCCCAGCGCTCTAACTGGGTTGGCGAACATGGAGGGTCCACTTAGGGGAGTTGAAAAGCCGTGATTACAAACTAATGGTGAACATGGGCTCCAGGATTCTGAGAGATCAAATGGTGTATGAACCAATCGTTGGTCACCGGCTACCATGAAACTGCATCTCCTTACGTTGCTCCACTGCCTTGTGGATCAGACCTTTGGATCAAAGGCTCCGGTTGTGGCCTCCTGAGAAAACCACCTGCTTCGGTTTGAGCACCCGAGCAGTATCACAGCACTCACACATATCAAATGAGATTTGTGTGGCGTATATGTATTTGGTGCCTCCTTGTACCAATATCTATGTGTTCAAATAAATAAAGTGAACTTGGAAATAGAATTAGTATTAAGTAAAACATAGTCTGAACATTGTAAACAAAAAAAGAAGGATATCAGTTGATTTAATGCATTTGTCAAGAGCTCCGTACTAAATCTTCATCATAAAATGTTTAAAACTTTAAATATAGGCTATATAACGATATATACAAACTGATATTTATTACATTTATGTATCAGTAGTTAAAAATCCACATATTATTTTTTATCTTCTGTTTGATATTTGAGTTTCAACAATTCTTAGTGCATAACTTTCAACCATGTTTTTCGAACTATATGCTTTATGCTCATTCCTTTTCATTGTCATTAATACTATATTTCGATATCTTTTGTTATTTAGATCGTTAACTTCATACTTTTTTACTGAGATTATGATCATATCAATGTTAGACCACCATTAAAAACATGGAAGCATTGGAAAACCTTTTCGTCCTATTATGGGGCTCATCAGCAGTACGTATCCGCGATCATACGTGTGAGATTTGGACCCAGCACCCTTGACTTCGCACGCAAAGACTTGACCCCTAGACCACTGAGCCGAGATCGAAAAGTGTTAGTATCTTGCTTCAACTAATCCACGATGTTGTGCGACCATCTAATATTGTCTGCAGTGGGTAACTACCTCACACCCGACACGGTTCAACTTCACTGGTCACGGCTTCTTACTAGAACTCCGACAACTACCTCTTGAAACTATTCACTAGTGAGCATATGATACTTACTAGTATAAGGTTGTGGATATTATTGAGTTTTTATTGAAATCATGAACCGATCGATATGAAACCACTATCTTCAACCAATCCACGATATTGCACTGCTGAGGATTTCCATAGTAGGACGAAAGGGCCGCCTAGCGCTTCCAGGTTTTCAATGATGGTCTAACATTGACCGGTTCACGATCTCTACAAAAACCTAACAATCTCCACAACTCTATACTGATAACTTCACATTGTTGTCAATAAGGTATGGGAATTAAGGCCAAAGGACATCTGCGCCAAGCTCTACATTGATGATGATCAACACCTCGATGACGATGTGCTGATGTGCCGAGGTGTACATGACAAGCTGTAAATCACATGTGGAGAAATCCGAATACTTGACTTCTACCTGAAGCTTCTGCTGATAATGTCATTGAGAAGAACGATGGAAGCTCCACGGCTAAAACATCCAGCGCATAGAACCAAACTCCATCAACATCATCCACCTGAGCTACAAATCTCCACCATCTCAGCATTCACCATATTAATACTTACAGATTTGCTGCAACTATGTGCCAATAGCAAATTTATCT